CACTGTTGTCCTACTTTAGGATGCTGTCATCACGGGCAATTGCTCGATTAGGTGGAGTCCGTGGTCTCATGGCCGGTGGTGCGTCATCACATCCGCGTCGTGACGTTGAAGGTCATCCACCTCCTCCAGTCACCCAACTCAGCGAGCATGAACTACACTTGAAGGATACGGGTATGTGAAAGCTCAACGATCACTGCTCTCTCTCTCGAGCACTTAGTAGTCAGATGACTTCTCATTTGCGTTTTATCCATTAATTGTCCTAGCAATTTTTTTAGTCAAGCGTGACATTTTTTTGCGAAAGGCGGGTGGTCTCCATAATAATTTTAAAAAAAAAATTCGGATACAGGGGTCAAAAGACACTTCGCTAATGGCGCACATCATCGAACTTTTCGTCGCACAGGGAGCCGATGTTAATGAAAAGTTTTACGGCGAATATTCCTTAGGTGTTCCTCCGTAAACAGAAGCAGGCCCTCCTTCACTGCCCCGCCGTCTCCAGATATAAACGTCATCTGCCACCACCGTCGAGCTCAACGAGGCTTACCGAAATCGCTCCGACCTGAAGCTGCTACACAATTTCCTCAGTGAATTAATTGTTGAATAGCTTCCCAGAGACATTAGCTGTGAATGTGCAAAACCGCTTTTGACCTGCGTTTCAGAGACGTCGTAATCGTCTATGGTATCTCAACGACCTCGTTGAGATCGTACCGCGCACAATGCTTCCGTGGGAAAATCTTCTGATGTCGTCGGTGTAGAAGGCTGTTGTGTAGCTTGTTGATAGATTATGAACGTGCTCTTCAATATTCAATTTGGGTCATTGATTGTGACCCAAATGATTAGGAATGAGGCAGCCCGATAGAGGGAGTCGCTGATAATGTGGTAAGCTGGACAAGCGCTCCTTTTTTTGGGCATCCTGGTTATGTACGAAATCAACTGATAACAGTGATCAAAGGCATTTCAGCGGTAATATAACCCACTTCACGCATGGTTACACGAATATGCTTTCGAAAATCTGGCTTATCGGCAAACTCTTACCTCAGCCGTTGAGTGGAGCCCCAACTCAGTGCAGGAGTTCCCTCGATACGCTAAAGGCTTTGTTTCACGTTAACCACTTTCCAACATCTTCCTCGACGAACGAGGAGGGTGAATGTTGCTCGAGAATTCTTTATCGCTTGTTCGAGTGATGGTTTCGTACCTAGATAAGTTACTGCTCTCCGCGCCGGGGGCATTCATCGCTATGAAGGCGTTCGTGCGTTGCATACGTTGGGTCTTCCGGTATGGACCTCGCACAGTTGAGGGCGATGAATAGAATCCTCGACGATTATTCAACCTGCATAAGAGTCGGTAGTAGTACCTGCTAAAGCTCTTGGTTTCGCGATTAACTGCTGATGGCGATGCGGTTAACATACTCATCGCAGGTGTGACTTCTGATAGGCAGGATCAAACTTATAATGTGCCGCTTCCAAAATTTTTACGACTCTCCAGTCTCTGTAGTGATCAATGGTGTCAGCGGTGCCGTGGGACTTGCCATCATAACATACTCCAACCTTCACCAGAAAGCCATCGACGGTGTGTGTGGGCGGCGGGGAGGGGAAAAGCGGCGGAGAGGATGTTGATGTATACTTTTCGATTTAGCAAAATTTAGATATATTTACCATGCAGTGGCAATCAAGGTTTTCTTTCGCCTCTACAACGGCGCTTCTATGTGGTATGATTTTTTTTCGGGCAGGGCTTGGCTCAGGTACAGTTCTCCGCGATTTGTACAGAGAAGCAGCGGTCTGGCGCATATCCCTTAATGAGCTTGATTGAACGATTTCTTTGGTGAATGAGAAAGGCGAACACTCAAGTCACAATGTCCTGTTCTTCCGGCTCGAAAGTACGCGACAAGGGAACCGATGCTCTACCAAGACCTTTGTTTCGATGCACTGACTAAGTTTTCCTCATTCGCCGAAATCGCAAGTGGCCTTCCCTTCTTATCGCCGTGCTTTTCTCGCTGTGGACTCATCTTCACTTCAGTTGTCATAAGAGTGTTTTTTAGCAACGTCGAAATACAAAAAATGAATGCACTCTTGTTTTTTTCAACGTTTTCGAAACTCTGCTCACCTTCTCTCTCGGATCGCATCCTGCGTTTCTTTTCGTGTGCGGAATCAATCCTGTTGGTTGTGTGAAAGAGCGTTGGGGGGAGGGTGAGCGTGGGGGAGGCTGCCTTGAAACGCCAAACAGGTTCATTTATTCCCATAACTTTTTCTAATGAAGGTAATTCCTTTTCTGGTAACATATTTATTGTTTCCTGATAACCTAAATATTGCAGTGAGAGACAATTCTCCAATAATGTGATCAAGCCACTGGTACGTGAAATGGACGAAAAATCGCAAATGCATCAATCAGTGATCAATGGGGTCTTCGACAATGGGGTATGTTGCGCCTATCACATAATTATCTTACGAGAATTTCGGATCTTTTACTCCAAGTTTCTTCGAATCGAGGCGGTCTTAAAAAACACGTATGTCTTAGTTAATGGAAATCCGAAGGTCGCCGAAGCTATGAGGGACGAGTGATCGTAGGGTTTTTTTCGACTATTCTTGGTCATTGTAAGACGCTATGCTAAGGTTTTGCTTACATAACATTTCCTTGGGTGTACTGATGAGCCACACGGTGACGTAATGTGATGAGAGGCTCGCGCTCGCCTAGACAGTTGGAAAATACGGTCAGCATCGCAGCCTCGTTACCGTGATTACGCTATCCCTAGTATGTGTCAGATATAAATCAAATTTCCAAAAAAAACTTACCTTGTGGAGCGACTTCATTTTCATTTTCTACAAGTGGGCCAAAATCATAAGGACAACGCGTGTGCGCGACTATACTCAATTTTTTCTGAGTCGCTCCATCTTCATCTCCCTTTCTGTGCACTAGGGAACGGGCTACAAGGACTTCGATAGGAAAATCGGCTTATCGTTGGTCTCAAAATTGGTGCAAATTAACTACATCACAGTACGTCAGTTCTAAAATTGAACTAAATTAAGGTTCTGGCACGCTACAAAAGCGGCAGTTCAACGCAACAGTGAAGCACTCACGGGAAACCTTCACCGCTTCAGTAGTTTCGGAACCACCACAATGATAAAATTGATGTTAAAAACCAGACTTTACCTACTGTTTAGTTTAAAGAAGCGCCTCGAGTACTTACTTGGGACGTTTCTACAGAACAGAGCCTCGAATTTTAAAGCAAATCTCAAAGGAGATTTCGGCCTCACAGATTTCGAAGAAGCAATATATCTCATATGTCTGGATTATTGTATGGTACACCCTTGATGCAAGCGTTAACGGAAACCTCTTAAAACTTCGAAGAGCTGAAAAAAGCAGCAAGTAATGCCAGAAAGCGTAGGGAACATTTTGATATGCTTTAGTAGAGTAGCCCAGAGCTCGCGCCATCACTCTTCATCTGAGGTCGTGTTAGCGCAGTAGGTGGCAGGTCTCGATTTAATTGATTTTTACCTTGGAGCCGACTGTATGTGTGACAAACATTTTGCTGAAGTTCGTTTCATCCATCTAGCTAATATGCGTTTTTGGCAATATAGTATGTTGGTCCTCTAAATTTTTGGCTCATCCTGATTTAGATTTCCCATGATTTCTTTTTTTTCCAAATTTGTGTGAACGTCACAGGACCTAACTGATCCCCCGGAAAGGTTGTGCCTTCACGACAGGTCTCTTTTAACCTACGCGGTGTTTCTAGGATGAAATTGCCTCTGATTATTCAAAATGTCGTCCAACTTCTCCAAAGTAGCGGTATGCTTTTCGTGTTATGACCACTCGAAGCATACCTGGCCTTAACCCTTAGACTACGACTTTTTTTAGAAACAAGTTATCGATGTGTTTTGTGTAGTAACAGTCGCTCCTAGCAACAACTAATCATCTGTAGAAATTTGGCTGACGCGCGCTGGGTTTGAGCTGGGATTCGATCCAGAGACCATATGCGCGGCAGTGGCCCCTCCTGTCACCACACCATCTCCGCTCGAATGAGCATTTTGAACAGTTCAAATACCATTCAACAAATACACATTTATCACATCTCATTCGTGGAACAAGGCAATGTACGGTTGTGGGGAACGCACGAAATAAGAATTGCAAGCACACACTTTGTAGAAGCTGCGCCCACCGGCTGCTTCTCCTCTAACGAATTTTCCCTGGTTTTTCATGCTCGAAAGCTGCGTCATCTTAGGAGTGTTCTACTACCACTTCCGCATCAACAAACTGACAAAACTTCCGGAGGTTGGAATTTCCAACGCAGTCGTAAAACGCCGTTATCCTCTAACTGGCTTGCGGCCGATAAAACCTCCATCCGTCATCGGTTTGCTTATGTTTCACCTGTTTCACAATAATTGAGGGAAATATTAGAACCATTCAACACAAAGAGTGTGAGACTCGAAAACTACCTTTTCGGGAGCTGTGCACACTGCCCAGTGACCTGTGGAACGACTTGCTTATCAACTTATCCAGCGTAACTCGCTTAGACTTCTGATACTTCGCTGACAGAGTAAGAATTACCAAGTTTCTAGTTGTGCACAATTCCGCCATAAAGCGGGCCCTCCGATCTCAATAAGTGCCAAAACTGTGGTAGTGACTTTGACTACGAAGTGGGACACATGTGTACCACCAGTAGTCAAAGATTAACTTACGCAGGATGACTCGCTTTAGCTTCTGACGATTAACTGTCATAGTAAGAATTAGAAAGCTTCTATATGTGCACAATTCAGCCATCAAATGAGCGCTCCTGCCTCAATATTCCCTGAAACTGTGGTAGTGTCTTTGACTACGAAGTGGGACACATGTGTCCCACCAGTAGTCAAAGGGTTAAGCTGCATAGCGGCTGCTTATGCTAACTCATCAGTGTTTTAAATGAGCTGCTTTTGACCATTGCACTGCCTCCACTCTTATCTGAGGTATTAACTATGATACTCCTACGGTTATCATGAACGCAGACTCCTTTCTATTTCTGATGCTTTCAGATTGATCCCGCAGTGTCCGCCTTTGTTGACCTACAAAATACACTCATTTTACCGCTGATACTGGAACTAGGAACAGAAGAACAAAAGCAAAAATATCTTCCGAAAGGGTGCACAGAATGGGTAAGTGGATATGGTATTGACTGATATATTTCTGCAATGAATAGTTCCTTTAAGGCTGCAGTGATCCTCAAGTGTCTCTCTTACTCTCTTTAGATCGGTTCGTTCTGCCTTTCCGAATCCAGCTCAGGATCCGATGCCTTCGCCATGAAGACTGTCGCCAAGGCGGACGGCGGTGATTATGTTATCAATGGGTCAAAGCTGTGGATCACCAGTTCGAGCCACGCTAAGTTCTTCCTGGTATGTTTCTCTTGGCTATTCGAAACAAACGAAACAACATTGCCTCCTAATCTCACTGGGCTATTCATATCCTCTTGGGAGGTCTATACAGGATTTTGACTCCCAGAGGATACAAATCGTACTGCAAATTTACTTATCAAGGCGGTGGACTTACTCATCAACTCTTGTCATCATTTTATAGTAGTAATAGCACTGTGGCTGAGAAGCGCTGCGGTCGAGGACAACCGAAGTCAATCCAGCCTTCTACCCTCTTGGTGCAGGTCTATGGTTGCTAAATTCTTGATGGTGAAGCCCCTTTTTGATAATAAAGGGATGGAAAACCTAGCATTTTGTCTTGATCAATTCCCGTGAAAGGTTAGGGAGCTGCCCGCGTTGCGCCTTGTTATGTTCTCAGCTTTTCCTTCGCTGTCCTTGTTTTATATAATAACCAATGTTGACGCATCCCCCAAAGTAAACGTTAGAAGGAGCCTTTTCAGCAGATATCACAT